GTGATACATTTAGGACTGAGTGATCACAGTTTAGTGTACATTTGCCGCAAAGTAGGAATACCTAAGGCTGAACCAAAAATTGTAGAAACAAGGCAGTTTAAATACTTTAATTCATCTGCATTTCAATACGACTTAAAAATGGCATTTCAAAGACACAACAACCTCTATAATTATGCCGACCCAAATCATGCGTGGGAGGTATGGAAAACTATTTTTCTTGATATTGCAAATATGCATGCTCCACTTCGGATTCGGAAAGTCAAAAGTGAGCACTGTCCTTGGATGACAAACGAAATAAAAAACCTTGCGCATCATAAATTCTACTTGAAACAAAAAGCGGTCAAATTTAACTCTTCAAATTACCACGAAGCTTATAAACGTTGTAGAAATGAACTTAACAAAAGAATCAAAGCAATTAAGGTTCATTTTTACAACACTAAACTACAAAACAGTAAAAATAGTAAAGAAGGTTGGAATACATTAAATAATCAGCTTAATAGGAAATCCAAAACCACAATTGTTAATGATCGAACTTAGCGTAGACCATGGAAAAAATGTAACACAAGATAAATCCATAGTCGACGAGTTTAATAAATTCTTCACTTCTATAGGTCCCAAATTAGGAAATAACATTGCTGACAATGGCTGTAGTCCTGATCCTTTGTCATATATAAACCAAGTCACAAATGTGTTTCACTTTCATAGCATATCAAGCTATGAGCTGAAAAGAGAAATACAAAATATGCAAATGGCAAAATCTACAGGTCTAGATAAGATCTCAACTAAGCTAATAAAACAGGCAGGCGATACAATAACTGAATCACTTCTAGAAGTGTTTAACCTATCTCTTAGGACAGGAATATTTCCAGATGATTGGAAATTTGCCAAAGTGACTCGAATATATAAGTCAGAAAACAAAACCTTATGTGAAAACTATAGACCGATATCAGTCATTTCGAATATCGCCAAAATATTTGAGAAATTAGTCTGTAGACAACTAAATACCTTCCTGGATAACAACAACATAATTGTAAAAAATCAATCAGGTTTCCGTCGCAATCACTCAACCGAAACCTCGTTACTACAATCTACTGAAATGTGGTTGAAATCAATGGACCAGGGTCAAATAAATGGGGTTATTTTCTTAGACCTGAAAAAAGCATTTGATACGATTGATCACCAGATTCTATTGTCAAAACTACAAGCTTATGGGATACGCGACCACACGCTCAAATGGTTCCAATCGTATTTAGATCAAAGAAAGCAAATTTGCATGCTAAATAACTGTAAATCTGATATTGAAACAATTCGTTGTGGAGTACCTCAGGGTTCAAATCTTGGACCTCTATTATTTCTCATTTACATAAACGACCTCCCAAACTGCCTAGAAACAACACATTCTAATTTATTTGCTGATGACACAATTTTATCATGTCAAGGGCATTTATCCATAGATATTGAATACAAACTTAACAAAGACCTAGTAAATGCTCAAAAATGGTTATCAGCGAATAAACTAACATTAAACAACGAAAAAACCAAATATATGATTATTGGATCTCGGCAACGATTGAAAAACTTAGATCACGTGCCAAAAATCAGTATAAACGGACATCAAATTGAACGAGTTTATAAAAAGGAAGCTTTGGGTATAGTTATAGACGATAGACTTAGCTGGAATAGGCAAAATGAAGAACAATGCAACAAGATATCAAAAAATATTAATCTTTTAAGAAAAACCAAAGATTTTGTTGGCCTAGATACGCTCAAAATTATGTATAACGCATTAGTCGCGCCTCATTTTAACTACTGTTCAACTGTTTGGCAAAATAACAACCAAACACACTTAGACAAATTATATAAGCTTCAGAAACGAGCAGCAAGAATAATAACAAATTCGGACTATACTATAAGATCTTCGGACATTTTTCAAAAACTTAGCTGGAAACCTCTTGACTTAGTTTTGAAAAAGCGAGATCTCCTTATGACATTTAAAGCGATTAATGGCATGCTTCCAGAATACGTAACACAACTATTTCACACTTGCGAAAACAATGGTTACGTACTGCGCAGTAGTAATTTAAAGCTGTCTCAACCTAAACCAAAAACGAATTTCTTGAAAAATAGCTTTTCGTACAGAGGAGCAGCGTATTGGAACAACATCCCAGTAAACTTGTTGAAAACCCTAAGAGAGTCAACAAGTTTAAAATCTGTCCATCATCTATTAAATAATTACATCTTGTAAATAAGTAAATAAGTAAATATAAGTATATTTTGTAAATAAGTATAATTTAGTTTATTAGTTCCTTCTTTTATAATGCATTTATTTTCCGCACGGCCCTTTGAAAATCACCTATGTGAAAGGTTACCGTGTTTAAAGATCAATAATAATAATAATAATAACCTCGATTTGAACCATGTCAACGCTCCAGTTCAGAGATGGTTAGGTGTTTCATTGGACCTCACAGCGGACGCGTTTACCTTCACGGTGAAAGTAGAGAACAAGCCATTCACCAAACGTGGCGTGCTATCAATTATTAATAGCCTCATCGCAGCACCGGTGCTAATTCAAGGCAAGTGCCTGCTCAGAGGCATGGCAGAGCAATTGAAGGAGAGGCAATTTGAAGAATGGGACTTGCCGTTACCGCATGAGCTGAAAGCATTTTGGGACGAGTGGTGCCAATCGCTAATCGAGTTGCTGCTTCTAAAGTTAACCCGTCATTATGCCACCTCGCTCGATAAAGCAAGCCATATGGAACTGTATACTTTCGGTGATGCGTCTGTCCAAGGTATCGCCGCTGCCTCCTACCTGAAGATCACCCAACCCGATGGACGAATTGAAGTGTCGTTCGTTTTTGGTAAAGACAAGCTAGCTCTACCACACGCTACCACAATTCCTCGTCTCGAGTTGTGCGCAGCGGTCATTGCCGTCGAAATAACCGACATGATTCTGAACGAATGCGTTGTACATCCAGACCGGATCATATACAATTCGGACAGGAAAATCGTGCTGGGGTATATCGCTAACGAAACTGGAAGGTTCTACGTTTAGGTCACTAACCGAGTTGAACGGATAAGAAAATCCTCATCACCTTCCCAATGGTGCTACCTTTCAACGCAACACAACCCCGCAGATCTTGCAGCTCGCCCAATAAAGGCCAAAGACCTCGAAAGTTCAATGTGGCTTCACGGTCCACAGTTTCTTTACCAACAGAGTCAATCAGAGCCTGGATGGACTCCACCAAATCTTACAGTAGTCCAGCCGGGCGATCTTGAAGTTTGCTCTGAGTTGAAAACGTTATCAACGACGGTCGGAAAGCTTACACATCTCGAAACACATCGATTTAGTAGATTTTCTGAATGGGCCCGTTTGGTGCGGGCTATCATGTGCCTCATCACCTTTGTACGACGCTTTCCAATAAATCGTTCTAGGAAAGGAACAGCCCGGTGAAAGGAGAGACCGCCTATCGAATAGTCTATCAGTAGCATTCTAGACACCCGAAGACAAGCTGAAATAGTGATAATCAAAAGCCTGCAAAAGGAAGCGTACGGCGAAGAGATTGAGTGTATCCAACATAAAAAGAAAATAGCGAAAGTAAGCGTGCTCCTTAAGTTGAGTCCAATCATTAATCCACAAGGACTGTTGTGTGTGTCGTCTCGAACGAGAAGAACTAACCAATGAAGAGAAACACCAAGTGATACTGCCGGGACAACATTATGTTACAACTCTGGTTGTCGAGCACCTCCACCATGAAATTAAGCACCAGGGGCGACACTTCACACAAGGGATAACAAGAGCAATGGGATATTGGATAATCGGCGGAAAACTGTTTGTCCACAGAGTCATCTACCGTTGTTTCAACTGTCGAAAGCAGAGAGGGAAATTACAAAATCAGAAGATGCCCGACATGCCGACCGAACGATTAACGCAAGCCCCTCCATTCACATACGTGGGTTTAGACGTCTTCGGGCCGTAGCAAGTTACAACTCGGAGAACCAGGGGAGGAGCTTCCCAAAGTAAACGATGGGCCGTAATTTTTACCTGCCTCACCGTAAGGGCGATCCATATAGAGTTGATTGAATCCATGGATACCTCGAGCTTTATCAACGCCTTGCGTAGATTCTTCGCCATCAGGGGTCCCGCCATCCAACTTCGCTCCGATAACGGTACCAACTTCGTGGGAGCGTGGAACGAATTGAATGCCGCGTTTAAAGAAATAAATAAGAACACCGTCCACACCTACCTGAGCAAAGAACGCTGTGAATGGGGTTTCAATCCTCCCCATGGATCCCATATGGGCGGTGTCTGGAAGAGAATGGTCGGAATTGTGAGAAAAGTCTTAAACGCCATGCTAGCCGATCTTGAATCAAGGCATCTCCCGCACGAGGTTCTCACCACCCTTATGGCCGAAGTAATGGGTATCGTCTACAGTCGACCATCAGTACCAGTTTCCACCGACCCGACCATGCCTGAGATCCTTACGCATTCTACGCTGCTAACCCAAAAAACTTCAACTTTGAAAGCTATCCCGGGAGAATTTACAGCGACCGACTTTTGTAAACATAACAAGCAATGGAGACACGTACAACACTTAGCGAATGTTTTTTTGGTCGAAAAGGCGAAAGGAGTTCTTGCCCACAATGCAGGCGCGTCGGAAGTGGCAAGAAGAAGTTCCGATTCGCGAATCTTGAAGCAGGAGACCTCGTGTTATTACGTTGTAAAGACGTCGCAAGAAATGAATGGCCACTCGCCCGGGTAATAAAAGCGTATAAAAGCGCCGATGGCAAAGTACGGAAGTTAAATTTAATTACCACCAGGGACGGTGCGAAGCACATGTACGCTAGGCCAGTAACTGAAGTCGTGTTGCTCAGAAGTGTGTATGAGTTAAAATGATTAGGACTAACTTTAATTAAAAACGTTCGTTTGATTGTTTAATTAAATTAATAGTGGTATCATTAGATGCCAGACGGGGAGTGTTTTGGCCGTTTCGGCCTGCTCTTATTAACAGTTCGCGCCAATTACATTTTAATGCATTCTAATTGGCTAGTCACCCTCGATGCTGGGAGTGTCTCGAAGGTTGTTATTTTAAATTTATTTGTATCGTTTTTTGAGGCGATTCGTAGTCGATTCTCCTTTTACCACTGTAACACAAATAAAATCAGTTTAAAACAAATTTGTGTTGGTTATACTGCTGATGAAGGGTCTCACTGAGCGTGGGCCCCAAGTATCAGAACAATTATAGTACAGAAGTGAGCAGTATTTTAAAGTGTAAATAGGAGTTTCCAGTTTGCATGATGTAGCAGGAAGTTAATTAAATTTGGTTTCATCTAATATACATTAATTGGCATGGTGCGTGTGTGCTGGCATGATGTATTTTTCAAAGGCAAGCCATGATCCTGTGTTTATTTAAAATTCCTGATCAGAAGTTGAGCACGAGAGTTCAGGCAGCCCTTGTTATGATACATATACACCGCTACTTATAATTAAGATCAAATCAACCAATTAAGATAAGTGGTCATAGGGAAGCTCCGGGTGGCCATAGCAGGTTCTTACTGCTGTTTCCAAGCTACCATTATGCGTGCGATTTTTTTCAGGTTTGTTTACGTTTCAAACGGTCAGGTTTTGACCGCAAAACGTTAACTTTTGAGCAAGCCAATCAATGTTAGGAGGCATGTCCAAAGAAATTTTGCAAAGATTGTGGCAAACGTTGATTGGCTTGCTCAAAACGTTAACGTTTTCCGGTCAAAATCTGAACGTTTGAAACGTAAACAAACCTGAAAAAAATTGCACGCATAATGGTAGCTTGCAAACAGCAGTAGTGAGAAGGAACTTATTAACCCATCAAGTTGCATTGGATCCTGATGCTCCCTACCTTATTATTTTAGTCATCAAGGGAGCGCACTGGTGGTCAGTGGGTTAATTTAATAAAATTTACTGTAATATATAAGACGAACAGGATAAGACCCAGATTCATTCATTCATCCATTCGTTCATTCATTCATTCATTCATTCATTCATTCATTCATTCATTCATTCATTCATTCATTCATTCATTCATTCATTCATTCATTCATTCATTCATTTATTAATTATTCACTTTAATACAATGAAACTGCACACTTAATCCGCAAATAGCAAATGCTAATCGAGGAGGATAGCGTAGAAGAAGTAATTTTGTGAATTGGTAGAGCATAGTCAAAAAGATGAATATAGATCTTATTTCCAGTGTACAACATGCATGTTTGCGAAGCATGCCATACACTAGCATATTGCATACCATTATTTCGAAATATTGCAAAACCTATTTTTTAGATTATATGAAACGAGTCTTGCATACTAGATATATAATTACATACTGTATACATAAATATGTGTTATTATATTTTTGTGGATGCCAATTGTTTGGTCATTAATTTAATTGTCGTAGGTTTATCAACATAGTCATCTTCAGTCTCCAATATGTTTAAAAGTGACTTTTTAATTATTTTGTTGAAAGTGTTTTTTCCTAGTTTACGTATCTCAGTGCAAATACTATTCCATATTTTTGCTCCTAGTTTAGCAAAGGATAAGGTTTTTTTATTCACTCGTACGTGAGTATTTTATATAAAAGTTATAAGATACAGAATGTCTAGTGTTATGCATGTGTACTTCCTTTGAATAAGTAAAAAGACCAGAGATTGTACTTGGAGTGGTATTGTTAGAGATATCATACATTAGCTTGGAAACTGCGCTGTAATAAGCATATTTAGTGGCAAAACTTAGGAACTAATAAAAAGAAGGATAGCATGCTCACTCTTTCTTTTGAAATATATAAAACGCAAAGCACGTTTTGAAGTCGGAGTATCTTGTTCAGATTCGCTTTTGGGTAGCTTGCCCCCAAACGATTATTCTATATGTGATATAGGGTAAAATAGGAGAATGATATATATTGTGGAGAGTAGAGGAAGGAACAAAGTGTCTCATTCGTTAAGTTACGCCAATTGGCTTTGAAGCAATGTTATCTATGTGGTATTTCCAAGTGAGATTCTCGTCAATTAAGACTCCTAAATATTTTACATACTCTTTATGTTTAATGGAAATTAGTTCATATGAACTGCTTTCAAGCATTTTAATATCGACTTGATAATCAAGTTTCTTATTAGAAGGGTGGAAGATAACAAAATTTGATTTTTTAGCATTCAGTGATAATTTGTTTGCCGATAACCATTCACAAACACTGAGCAATTCTCTATTAACAACTGTCTCAAGTGATTTTAACTTTTTGTCTGCGTATATTAAGTTAGTATCATCGGCAAATAAGCAAAATTTGAACACATTTGAACATCTATGAATATCATTTATGTATATTAAGAAAAGTAGCGATCCTAAGACAGAGCCATGTGGCACACAATGGGTGTTTTCCTCTTTATTTGAGATTTCCATTCCAATTTGGGTTGTTTGTTTTCGTCCTGTTAGATATTAATTAAACCAGTTATTAATAGATTCTCTAATACCATAATGATTTAATTTTTACAATAGTATAGTGTGATTAACAGTATCGAAAGCTTTTTTTAGATCAATGAAAATACCACACGAAAACATCTTTTTATCGATATTTTCTTGTATATCATTCACAATATCTACAATAGCTTGTTGAGTAGAATGTTTCTCACGAAAACCAAATTGAGATTTGAATAATACATCGTTTTCCTCAAAGAATGACTTAATTCGCTTGGAAAATAATTTTTCAAATATTCTATTAAAATTAGACAGCAAAGAAATTGGTCTGTAATTTCCTGGTTCAGTTTCATCATCACTTTTAAAAATAGGAATTATTTTAGCATGTTTTAATTTAGATGGGTATATTCCACTTAGAATAGATAAATTCAATATTTCTTCTAAGGGTTTTGATATAATTTCTTTTGCACATTTTAATATGCGGGTAGGACATTAATATAGTCCATGTGCTTTATTTATTGGCATTGACGCTATTTCATATTCCACTTCAAGTGAGGTTACAGGATTGAAAAAGAAAGAGTGGGCATGATGACTTGTAGATAAATAATCACTAAAATGCTTTGTAGAATTAGATAAACTGGAGGCTAATATTTGGCCAATTGTTGAAAAATGCTTATTTAGAATATTAGAAATTTCAAAAGTATTTTGTGTAGTGTCTTTTAAATTGTGGCACTTAATTGAGGTTATCTGCTTATGATTTCTTTTTTTGTGATTTATCAGATTATTAATACCTTCCCAAGTTTTTCTCATATTTACTCATTTTTAAAGTACGTGTGAAAATAAAGTTTTTTATTTATGCGTGTAAGCGTTTGTATTTTATTTCTATATAATTTATAATTATCATTTATAGACCCGGAGCGAGGGGGATTCGGCGTAATATTTCCCGAAGTGATGATATTCCGTAATATTTCCCGAAGTGAAAATATCATCACTGAGGGAAATATCGCCGAATCCCCCGAGCGGAGGGTCTATAAATGATATATTATACCGAAAGTTAAAGAACTCACTAAGAGTCTATCAAGTTCAGAATAAACTTTAAAACTTGCTGAATATTAATAACTACGCGAACACAATTTTTAATTTCTTATCTATACCTGAGTTTTTGACGTTTTCTCCTTAAAATATTTGAGCACGTATCCTTTGGATCGTTGAAAGTAACATACGTGTTGAAATAATTGGTTTACTTAATATTAAAATCTTCTGTAGTTCTGTACGAAATTAATACAAACATGCAACAGCTCGCGAACGCCATATTGTTTCAGAATTCAGAGCGTGGTGTCCACGCGTCGCGCGTGAGCGAGGGATACTATAATATCCCACGGTGGATCTGCCGTGGGATATTATAGTATCCCACGCTGGATTGCGAAATCATGAATTTGAGTGAAATACCGTAAAAAATCACGCTAACACGTGGTACAAATGCTGATTTTTCATTGGACAATTTGAATTTGAGGTATAATATTTATCTGTATCACCTGATTGAAAATAGTATTTTTATATTTTGATAGATTTTCTTAAACCTTTGGTAATCCAAGGTTTAGAGAATTGTTTTGCTTTGCGTTTTGAAACAGTTGTAAATGGGGCATGTTTATTCGTTAGTTTATTTAGTCTATTATAAAATGTACAAAATAATGTATCGATCAATTCGAAACTTCACCATCCCCCCCCCGGGCCAACCCCGGAAATTTAAACTTTTTGAAATTTGACTGATCAAATTCTCCACCCCCTGTGCAAAAATGACTTCAAATGCCCCACTGTAACAAGAAAGTAAGCGTTAAAACGCCCCCGCCTTCATATGAAAATTATGAGACAGTAAATACAAAAGGTACAAAATATACGGAATGTTTTTCGACAGGATAGCGAAATTCACGTAAAAAGTTTGGATACCTTGTGGAAATTTAACAGTTTTACACAATTATGTAGCCCATACCTTCAAATGAAGCACATAGATTTTCCATGCCCGTTTCTTTGAGCCAGTTTTTCACAAAATTGAGGCCGTTTCCCTCGAAATCTGAGAAAACTGTATTTGCCGCCAATGCGAAGTATTTTCTGTGCATGCAGGAAGCACGCGAAAACAGGCAAAATTTGAAGACTTCCGGTTCAAATTCCCCACCCCGTTATCAAATTTTGTGTTAGAGAAACGAGAATAGTCCCTGATTTTGCATTGATGATGAGTATATTTTTGCTTAGCTGAGCGAATGATACAAAATTGTGAGAAATGATCACTAATATCGGAGATAATATTACCACTTGAAATTTTTTCATCAACTTTGTTAGTAAAGATGTTATCAATTAAAGTTGCCGAATTCTTGTATACTCTAGTTGGTTTATCTATTGTAGATAGTAGAGCATAACTTAGTAAAGTAAGCAAAAAGTTTTGAGCATACTTACATGTTTGAGTCTTGAGGAGGTTTATGTTGATGTCACCCAATAAATATTTAACGGTTATTCCACGAACTCGAGTCGAATATGAGTTGATAGCCGATGCGGCGCGTAGCGCCGAATCGGCTATCGCTCATATTCGACGAGAGTGAGTGGAATAACTGTTTTAATATATACACAAGGTCTGAATTCACAGGCTTTGCTTTTCGGATATTTTCAATATTTTTCTATTTTTTTATGTTTTTTATCTTCGCTCTTTCGGCCGATTATTTTTTCCAATATATATATTTTTAACCATTTAAAATTTAAAAATTCATTTGCTAACCTGTAAACAATTTGTGGGAGTTTTTTCATTGTGTTTTTAATCCTATAAAGGCTATAAAAAGCGAACAACTTGCCGTTTTCTCATTTGCAAACGTCAGAAATTCAGTTTCAGCCGCCATTTTGTTTTTCGCTACTAGCAGGATATGAGCTAATATCCTGCTAGTAGAGAACCAATCAGATTGCAGAATACCTCATATCCAGACCTTGTGTATATAATAAATTGGTTTATTCGAGAAAGAACTATTAAACTTATCCAAAATTTCTTCAAAAATATGTTTGAAAACACTCTGGAGAATTGTGTTGTCTATAGATTAATCTACAAATAATATTTGGTTTGTTTGTAAATTGTATTTCAATCCAAAGAGCCTGAAACGCTTCGTTAGAATTTTTTTCAATGATTGTATATTTTAAGCTATTATCGCTGCACATTCCAACTCCACCCGACGATAGGGGTGTTGGCACACATTCGAAGTTGTAATCAGGATTATAGTCCAAAAAATTTTCATCTGTAATTTTTGTTTCAGTAATTCCTATTACACTAAAATTATAATTAAGTTCGTCTAGCAGATAAACTTGAAATTTTTCAAGATTACGATTCAAGCTTCTTACATTGTTGTGGAGTAATGAGAAGCTATTGTCCATATTTGCTTTTGAAAAGGATTAATTTTTTAAGTTCAACAAAATTATGCGGTGAATAATAATGAGTTCGCATAAGTTGGTATGGAGAATTTACATCAAGGTTTATATCAGAATTTGTCTCAGTTTTAAATAAGTCTAGATCACACATGCTAGGATATTTATCAAGTTCTTCTTTAATAGGAATAGTTTGAGTTAAATTCTCATAGGAGTTAGGAAGGTAAAGTTCGTTATAAAATGGTAATTCGCGTAGTAGAATTTTTACTTGATTTATTTCACAATTATTATTATCACCACTAGACACACCGGCGATAATACAAATATTAATTAATAATTAATATGGTATACTTAGCTTAAGTTCAAGTATTTATTCCCGCAACCTCGTTCCCAGGCTCTTTGCTCTTGGGAAGCAAAGACCCTGGTCGGGGCTGATGACGTCACACATAGAAAATTGATAGCCGAAGGGGGGGATTGAAAAGTCTCATATTTTACATGTTTCCACTTCCGCACTTCGCACTTCAATTGCAAGGAGTGGCCGTTCTGTACAATCATCTAATTCATCTTCGAGAATCATATATACCTCAAACTACTTGCTAAATTGGTTTCTGTTTGCTTTTAAATTATACAAACATGCTAAAATGCAGATTCTTATAGCAACAGAAAATTCAGGAAATCAAGCAACGAGAACGTATGACTGTACGCTTTGAAATATTTTTATTTTCTCGGAGTTCGCCGGTTCGGGCTTAGTTTCATTTCACGCGTACGTTTCTGTTCTGGCTCTGATATTTATAATATGCTTATAATATGCCAATGAATTGTTCTGATATGGACACGGTATAAATTTTTTTAACAGATGTCTCAAAAGCGACTGTTTATAGGTCGTAGGATTAGCGCCTTGCTGGTCTTAAACGTGACACATTTGGACACAAGCCAAATACACATTGAATGTCCATTTTATTGATTCTAAAACTGTTTATAGACATATTGCTCTAGTTTTTTTTTAAAAGGTTATCATCGTTTATGTTAAACACCAGGAAGACAAAATATGACGTACAAAATTGTTTGAAATCGACAGTGCACAATTGACATACGACAATTCACAACTGCATGAATTTCCTTTTTCGTCTGCACGAGTACCTGTTTGTTGAAGCCAAAATATTGCACAGCATCTCCTATAAATTATATCGCCATTTACCCTCTCCCCTTAAATGCAAAGGAATGACAGCAGAAAAGGTTTAGCAAAGTATTTTTTATTACATCTGGTATAAAGTGTCCTACGTTTTATCAGGATATACATAATTCATAAACTGTATATGCACACGAAGTCTCGCTTATATTAATGAGTTTTACTGTAACAAACCTTAGTAAAGTTTCCATGGATAGATAGGTTATTTGCCTCCAGTATTGTTTGGTAAAACAGACTAAACTTCTAAAATATTTGTTACGGAATACGATAAAGATGAAAATTGATTTAAATATTGATAACTCACAGCGGCATTAATCCATTATACAAGTCTAAAGAAGCTGGATTATTCTTCAATAAAGCCCTCAATGGCAATGCCAATGTCAATGAAAGGTCTAATATTATACATGTTGCAAATTACTGTATACACAAAATATGAAATAATTTATATAAATTACAATACCAGTGTTGGGTGCATATATCGTCGTAGATATTCAAGTTGTACCGCACGCACGGAAACGCACGGAGGAGTCTTGGCGTTTGTGTGATAACAGATAGCTAGCTACACTTCGACATTATCTTTCTTGATCATTGAGTTTCAGCAATGTAAATGAAATGAATTTTATAGCCAGTCCATAACGGGTTTTAATCCTGTGCTTTTACAGTCAAAATAGCACTATTGTTTACACATGTTGGCGATGTTTGGGAAATCAGAGGATCCCGTTATAAAATAAATCTTTTGTTTTGAATATCGGACAGGATACTCTTCAACTATGAAGAACCATATCGTTCGTTTAATACCGTTTGATCGATCAGTCTGTGTAGAAGATATGTATGTTTCTACGGCGATACGTGCTCGGCTAAACTTCGCAAGCCAGGCGCGTGTGGAGTGTTTTCCTTGCAAGTGAAATATGATCCAGCTTCTCGCTTGAAATGTAACGCAACACTTATTGTTGATGACATTCAGTACAGCAGGAAGGCTTTGTCATGATCGGTACGAACAAGTAGAACGTTCCCTTCACAATCTCTTGTTGCAAATTACATTTTTATCACCCGAAATTATAACACATAAAGTTGCAATTTTCCAAACGCAACAAACACGCTCCTCTACCTCCCGACCCATAGTCAAATTATACGTTTACCCCCAGATTCTGGGTGTGACGTCATCAGCCCCGACCAGGGTCTTTGCTTCCCAAGAGCAAAGAGCCTGGGAACGAGGTTGTTATTCCCGATCCTTTAACTTATTCAAATCCTCAATATTTCTTATTCTTTCAGCACGGCTGTCGGCGGTGTTCCTTAGATAGACAATGCTATTCTTTGTCCAACAGAACTCATAGACATTTTCCTCTTTGAATTTTCTTGCTTCATACAGAATTTGTTGAGACTTCAGAGTTAGATAGTCATGCAGTCACGTTTTTGTGGCCTCCGTCATATTTCTCTTTATACCCTCGTTTTACGAACATTTATCACCTAAATTGAATCTGTTTTTGGTAAACTCGGTTGTACCATCGAATATATGTGCTTTAGGAGATGTTTTATCGCTATATAACCCCTTGATGGGTTTGAATCGCTTCGAATCAACAACATCGAACTGCAAATACTTCTGCGTGAAACGAACGAGTAACCTGAAATTTGAGAACAACTCACGGACAATTATTACTGGCAATCACGAGGATTTTGTTCCTGCTCTACAAGTCCCACGAAATCGTCAAACTGTACAGGAAAGGAGCCACGTTTTGAGCAAGTATTATGAAAAACCCAATGTTTTACCAAAACATGCTTGAAAGTTAGAAATTTGCATACGCTGTATCAATAGAGGCAGTCAATGGAACGACTTGAATATATTATATCCTTTGTACTTCTGGCGATATAAACAAATAGTTAAATGGCGCATTATTCCATTTACCGTTAAAACTAACACTTGGGTATTCTTGCAACGAAAAGGCTTAGTTTTCACGAAAAGATCTGTACCGTATTATAATAACTCTATGGCATCTCAACACCTCATACTAAGTGGAGACATCGCGTTGAATCCTGGTCCTGATAAAGTTGAAAACAAGAACGCAACAGCCGTAAAAAGAAATAAGGCTCTCAAGTGCCCGTCCGGTGAAAAGGCTGTACAGATTAATCACAAACGATTTTTGTGCGAAGTGTGTTATGATCAATTTCACGCAAAATGTACCGGTATATCTGCATATCAAATAAAGACCATCCGTGCAGATAAACACCATGTCTGGGTTTGCTCGAAGTGCACCATTTCTCAACTTCCATTTTATAAAGTCTCCACCGAAGAAATGATAGAAGATGACCTAAATTTAAATTTAACCCAGACCTCGGCATCTCAGGACTCTTCGAACTTAGAGTGTATATTTCAAACCAAACCATCGCATCTAAAGATCATGCATTTAAACACCCAATCGATGGTATCCACTTTCAACGAGTTCCTACTCACTGTTAATAGCTATCCTTTAGATATAATAGCTCTAAGTGAAACCTGGCTAAAAGATAATCCCCAGTTGATGGAATACGTCCCATACCTGGATATGCTACTGAATTCCGTCATCGGGAGGATATCAAAGGCGGTGGTGTCGTTGTTTATATAAAAGAAGATATCAAGTATAAGCGTCGCCTCGACATTGAAAAACTCCATCCAGATCTCGAGCATCTGTGGCTAGAGGTCCCCGGTAGGAATATTCACAGCAAAGCACTTGTCGGAGTTATGTATAGATCTATCCGCATGCTTTCTACGGCAAAGTGGTTGGAAAGTCTAGAGTCCCTGCTTAGTCAACTAAATGTCGCATGGGATGGAATGCTTATCCTAACTGGAGACATGAACATTGACATGCTTCAAGCTGAAAATAGTTTAACAAAACAATACCAATGCATCTTGGATGTTTTTGGTCTTCATCAAGTTATAGAAAAACCCACACGTGTTACGAAATCCTCTAAAACATTGATAGACCATCTTATTACTAACTTCCCACAAAGGATTGCTGACACTGGCATTATTCCCTGCTCAATTGTCAGCGATCATGATGGCATTTACGCAAGTATTAATGTACGAGTCCCCAGGTTTGAAGCACGGCACAAATATATACGGGATATTATGTCTCTAAATGAAAGTTTATTTATTGAGGATTTCTCCACTTTACCTTTGTCTGTCATAGCTTATTCTGATGACCCAGACGAACAACTAGAATCCCTAAACTCCCTGTTCGTTGAGTGTTTAGAAAGGCATGCACCCTTGAGAAGAGTCCGAGTGACGCGTCCCCCGGCTCCATGGATGAAGTCTGCCAATATCCAAACTCTTCAAAAAGAAAGAGATCATTTAAGACATAAAGCTCATAAAAGCGACGCTGATAACGGTGTATGGACCGCTTTTCGACTTGTTAGAAACAGCTTAAAGTCTGCAATAAGATCAGCACGGAAGGCATTAATCGAAAAAGCGATGTCTTCTAACAAATCACGCAATATATGGAGAGTTATCCACAGGATTCTGAAGCCAAATCCGAAGCCTCTTCGCGTAGACCTTGACGAACTAAATACCCATTTTTCCACCACGGCAGAGAGAACATTCGAGGCCTCTGTTGTGTCTTTGAGTGACCTGACATGCCTGACAGACAATCTGCCTGAACAGAGTTCTAATGGCGATCAATTTAATCTGAAACCTGTCACCCAAGAGGATGTCTTCAAATGTATACGTGCATTACGCTCAGATTGTTCCACTGGTGTTGATAATATTCCAGCCAGATTCGTTAAGTTGGTCGCTGAACATCTTGCCTGTCCACTAACTAGCATAATAAACAAATGCATTAGCAACGCATATTTCCCAAAGCTGTGGAAAATAGCCAGAGTCTCCCCAATTCCTAAAGTAGAAAACCTAACATCCAATGACCAGCTACGGCCAATCTCAATACTCCCAGTGTTATCAAAGTTGTTTGAGAAATTGGTTGCTGGACAAATGTCAGAATTCGCAGAGAGAGCTGCGCTGCTACCTGATCGCATTTCAGGTTTCCGAAAGGGACATTCGACAACAAGCGTCCTTTTGGGGATACGAGACGATATCCGTCATGCTATGAAAAAAAGGGAAATTACCTTGATGTTCCTAGTAGACTTTAGCAAAGCATTTGACACTATTTGTTTTAAAAGCACCATTTAAAAGTTTTATAAGTTGGGCTTCTCAAAGACCTTCCTGAAGTGGTTGCTGAGTTATTTATCTGGTCGTTCCCAGTTTGTGCAGAGAGACGATAAATCTTCTTGTCGTAAACCAATACATTTTGGAATTCCTCAAGGATCGATCCTGGGGCCATTGATTTTTAACCTCTACGTTGCTGACTTGAATGACGTCATTTCTTCTCATACCAACTGTTATCAGTATGCAGACGATACAACCTTGTATAATCAATGCAAAGTGGCAGACCTCACGACTGGGTAAACAAGCATGAATAAAACCCTCACTAAACTCAGCAATTGGTCACAAGGATCGAATCTGGCACTTAATCCAACCAAGACAAAATGTATGCTGTTCACTACCAGTCAGATGTCAACATACCACTCCCTGTCATCGCGCCCTCTGCAGCTTGCTGTTGAAGGGAAAGTTCTGGAACGAGAAAAATCAACGAAACTACTCGGAGTACACCTAAAAGAGATCTAAAATGGGACGCCCTTGTGAAACATCTTGCCTCGACGTGCTATGGCACCCTAGCAAATCTCAGAAAAATTAAGAACTTTACAACTTTCACCCTGAGAAAGCATCTGGCTGAAAGCTTAATTATTTCTCGTTTAGACTTTAGTGACATAGTATTCTATCCACTAACCGAAAATCTACTCAATAGACTACAGCGAATACAGTACTCAGCTGCTAGTTTTGTGACTGGACGTTATGTAAATAGTATTGAATCGATTTTAAAATTGGGTTGGTTACCCATGCGAGAACGAAGGGACTGGCATATTCTTAAAGCCGCACATAAGGCGTTATATAGTAGCGATTGGCCTCTCTATATTAGCCTTGAAATGTCTGAACACACACGTGTTTTACGGTCTAATGCTCAAGTCAATTTAGTTATACCTTTAGTTTCTAATACCTATCAAGATTGTTCAGCTTCATAATTTAATTCTCTACCAGCTGATATAAAATCATGCACAGATCATAGAGACTTCTCCAGACAAACTTTTAATATTTTAAAGCAACGCTGTCTCACTATTTAATTGTAATGCTTAGGTCTAGGTTTACAACTTTCTTACTATTTCTTTAGATATTGTAGTAGTAGTTTTATCAGGTGAAGAGCCATTGTATGGAAATACTGATATTAAATCATTATTATTATTATTATTATTATTATTATTATTATTATTATTATTATTATTATTATTATTATTATTATTATTAGCTAACTAGGAGACCTGTGATGTCCTAACTAACATCCTGTTTATCTCTAACTTTAGACTAAGGTGTTCTGACCCCGACTTAACTGTATTTTATACTTGCACAATTTACTAAACATTATGGCACAATTTGATGGTGCTTGTTTAGACAATGCATGGTCATAAGATTGCTTTGATGTTTTTTTAGGAATTGATTTGGGATCTTTAATTATTTAATTATCTGGGATCTTTAATTACTTAATTATCATTATTTAATGTTAGTTACCCTAGTATATATACTAGGTTACCCACAGGGCAGTAATGCTGCCTTCGACAGCAAAAGACAAACTACGTACAGGGTGTTGAACGAGTCCTTTAGAAACATCCTATTATTGTTATCCTTGCAGGTTAACCCATTTATTGACAGTACCCTACCACTGACTGAATATTAAAAATCGTCTGGCGTTGGACAGGGTAAATACTAAAGTAGGGGTCATTACTGTGCTGATGGATTAACAAGAGACATTGGCAGATAGGTTTGTTAACCCATTTACTGGCATTACCCTATACCACTGACGAGTAAAATCTTCTGGCGCTGGACAACGGAAGGGCGCATTGGCAGCTAATGGGTTAAACCACCGTGGTTAAACATAAGATTTGATGCTCCAGGAAATGTAAACAAGCTATCAGTGTAACATCCCAGTTTATATATTTATATACTCGGAATATTGATTTCTCGGTATATACAAAATTATTTTAAAGTATAACAACCAGCGAAAAAGTAAGCCACTCACTAGCCTGCGCGGCTGCGCGCAGATTATATAATGACATATACATATTTCATCCGTCCGGTCCGTCCGTCATTTATCCGTCCATCCGTATCCGCGTTTTATCCTACCCGTTTTTGAAACACAAAGTTTGCATAATTAAGGCAGTGCGGTTCGTCATGATCAACATTTTCAAAAGCGGCCAATCAGACCAGGGGTTAAAGGTCAATGACAATGACATGCAAGTGACATTTAACATTGCGTCTCACTAATTAAAGTTTGCGTGTTTAATAATGTTTATCAAAGAAGCAAAAATATATACAAGACAATCTCACATGTGGAATTTGTTCACTTGCGTACTGCCTTGTGATGCAGTACAAGTATAAATACAAATGACAAAGTATTTGTAAATCCTAAAACATAATTAAATCATACGGCACATTCAAGATTTTATTAAATATCGTATTTCAGCAGCGTTTATACTGCTTGGCGCATTCGCTGCGTTATATTCATTTATATACACAGAAAAGCATCAAGCATGTCATTGTTTTTGCAGACCATAGGCAAAAAGCATTTGTCAACCTCATACCAAATTTAAGCAATCGTTAAATCATAGACATGTCATGGAAAGAATATGGAAATAATGTTGAATGAAAGCTAGCATCGCGTATAATGTTAAAAGCACCGCATATAGTGTTCGAACCACTGCGTATATTAATTGCAAAAGCAACGCGTATATAAATGGTGAAAGCACCGCGTATAATGCTGGAACCACCGCGTATAATGCAGGAACCACCGCGTATAGTGGCGAAAGCACCGTGTATAATGCCGAAAGCACCATGCACCGTATAATGCTAAAAGCACCCAACAAAATGCCGTTTGATCACTTTAAGCCAGCTATGGCTTTCCATAAAAGATGACCAAAGATGAAAGATGATCACATTGTCTGTTTGCCTTATACCTGACCGCGCTGCACCACGGTTAAAATTCACTGGTACCGTCATGCAATGCGGCAACTGGAAAATTTTGATTTCGACCCACAAAACAAAATTAGGATCTGCTGCCTTGCTCGCTCGCTTCAGGCTCGCTCGCTGCGGCAGCCATTATATGCATGTACTTGCGACTAGAGCTTGCCAACTTGATTCTGTATCTCCAGTGTTGTAACGAGTCATCTACAGGTCGAGTCACGAGTCGAGTCACTCAAAGGTCCAGTCACGAGTAGAGTAGAGTCATTTCAGTTGCTGATAGAGTCGAGTCAGTGGTTTCACTCGGGTCGAGTCAGCGGTTTCACTCGAGTCAAGTCGAGTCACTGTTTTAAGTCGAGTCGAGTCAATAGCCAGACTTAACTTGATTCAGGGAATTTGATCAAGTTTACCCACATCCTTGTCCCCAGGGCCTCTCGGCAGCGCGCGTCCTCCGTAGGCCCTGGAACATACTGAACCGGAAATGCAAGAAAACATGCAGTAGTTTCTAAAGCGCATGGTCCTTAATTGGGACACTTTAGCACCCGTAACAATTTTCAAAGTGAAATATTACGAAGAAACGAGGTATTTGCGTTGACATATGTTGATAGAATAATTTTTCCTAGCGAAAACTGCTAAACTTCTGCGACATAGCATTTCTCTGAGAAGCCAATCAGATCTCTTGCTCTAGTCGTCTAACCCAGAGCCTAATTTTCAACGAGTGACCGAGTGAAAATGGCTCTGGGGGCGAGAATTGTCCACCCCGCGCTTTCTGCAATAGTTCGTTACCTTAGCTTGCATTTTGAAATTTGTAATCAAATTTACGTTTTAAGCTAATCACTTTAGTCATGTAATAACAGTATCTGGGCAGCCATAGGCTATACCAATATCACAGTTCTAGTCAATATTAAGGACAACCACATGAGATGTCTCATCATGCCCGCTAATCGAGTGTACGTCCATACATCTAGCATAATTTGCAACTGGAGTCAGAATTAACAAAGAATAGACTTTAATAAACCACGCCTTGTAAGTTAATTTGAAATTATATAACAATTCATAAATACCAAAAATGAAGATATTCGGTCAGAATTAGTACAAGTACAAAAAATTTGAAAACTCTATTTTAAAAAGTGTGGCACTAGCGTTGTTTCTAAAAACAGAAATATAATATAGGCATGCCCGTCAGAAATATATTGTATTCTATGCAAATCCCATATATATTCTGATAAAGATTCAAAGTTCTCATTGTTCACAGGGCACATTGTTTTTCCCAAGAAATACCATCACAATAATGTTGATGAATTTATTCTGAACAAGTTGTTGCTGAGTTGACTCGAGTCATTTACAGTAAAATCAGCAAGTAGAGTCCGAGTCGAGTCATTTGGGGCTGTTGACTCGAGTCGAGTCATTTTTCGTTTTGGACTCGAGTCGAGTCGCTGAAAATAGCGACTCGAGTCCGAGTCAATGACTCTACTCGTTACAACACTGTGTATCTCAGTTAAAGTGCTGCGGTGGAATCGCACTGCTGCAGGTTTGATTCCTGCCAGAGGGCCTATGGTTGCATTTTTTGCCATTGTTCCTAGTTAGGTCTAATAAATGTTTAAAATTCACACTTGGAATTTCCATCTACAAAACCCTTGAACATTAATTCAATCGAGTGCGATGCTCAAAAATCCTTATTTTAATAGTTAATATAAACACCACTAAGTATCCCATTTTACTGTTATAACATGGTTTTAATGTTTTAATAATAAAAGGCTCCCTGGAAATTTTGGACACCATGCAACCTCTTGGCGGCCCTGATTCTTATGAAATATCAGGAAACAAAAAAAAAGCAAAAGCTCCTTTAACAAAAAACATAGAATAACCTAAATAATGGAATAACACAAATTCCCTGACCATGATATATGCATTTCAAATGTTCATTCAAATTCAATGCTTTTTCCGGATAAACACTTACTCATACTTTGACACGAAATAAGTTTAAATCATATACAGGTCGCTCATGAAAATAATTTGCTCTCGTAAATTATTTAATTTTTTATTATTATTATTAATGGTTT